GATGACGAGGATTTCTTCGGGATTGGCAGGCCTGCACAGGATGGCGACAGCGATTTCGACGACCGTCACCCGAACGTGGGCGACGACGATGGCGCAAGTGGCGATGATCACGGTGACGGAGGAGATAGGCCACGACCTGCACATGGTGACACGATGCGCGCCGACGGGGCAGGGGGCGACCACCGCACAACAGTAGATGACGCTCGAGATGGAGTGCATGATGATGGTTCACGACCTGTCTCGGGCGGTGACCTGAGGCGCTTGAAACGCGGACCAAGGGAAAAAGACACTATCGCTTCACGTGTGCGCAAACGTCATGGTGGGGTTGCTAGCATTCCACTATCACGAGTCCCCRCAACTGGGCAGATTCCAGTTTTTTAGGACTCTTTCAGCGATCACGACGGCGAGGAGCGGATCGAGCTGCATGGCGAGAGCGGTCATCCACGAGGTGACACTTCGAGTATGCACGCGACAGCTCCGATGGGGCCTTCCGCAGCAGTCCCAGAATCACAACAGGGTTCAACACCGTTGATGCGTCATCCCGAGGTTCAGGGAGAGATCAGTCCTCTCCCGGCAGTGCGGGACGAGGGTTCTGTCGGTGCACTGCATCCACTCACGTCTGTCGGAGCGGCAGTCTCAGTTGCAGCGACCTCGGATGTGAGACAACCACTGGCAGCGGCGGAGCAAGAAAGTATGCTCCCACCTCGCAGTGTTCAACCGCGGCCACCGCCTACATTGATGGAGAGGAGTCAGGGGACCGTTGTTGTGTGTCAAGGCGACGATCTCCCGGAACGTGATATCTCACACACTCCCGCAGCCGAGCGAAGCGCCGCAGACCATGTCGGCCTCGCATGCCCCACCGACAGTCTTCCGGGTACCGGCGAGTTACTGACCATGGACTCTGCGCTCGTTTCTCTACCGGACTTGTCGACGTTGATATCCCCAGGTCTACCCCATGTGTCMCCGCCCAAGCCACAACAGCCTGTTGTCATGGAGCGTGGATCGGACAGGTTTGACGTGGCAGGAGGCGATATCGCCGATATGATTACGAGCCCAATGGTGTTTGCCACGCCCACAATGTTTCGTGTTGGCAAACTACGCGAGGTGGTCCTTGGTTTGGCGGAGACGGCGACGCGACACCGCCGCGACGGTCAGCGCAGCATCGCACAACGCAGTCTTTCTCATTCGTTTGACGGCGCAAAGGAAGGGTCTCCTGGTGGGCCAGTTGACACACTCGAAAGAGAAGCAAGACCCCSAARTCCGCCGTCAAACTCAGAGCATCATCCSATTGCCGCGRYTRTCGGCGCAGATGCGGGCGTCCCCGTCACAAACARTGGCGCGGACGCGACAGAACAGCTTGTGGTTGGGTCATCGRCGACAGCWCGGCGCGACAGAGCCACTGTTTTGCCGACAGTGGCATTYTATGCCAGCGGGAAGAGTACTGGGGGGATGGATGAGCAGGGAGTCCGGAATGTTGGCAGACCATCTGCACCGTCTATGGGGAAACGATCCATTGGGAGTGTGGATGGTGCTCGGCACACCGCCATGGCAAAGTTTGAGGACCGACACGGGAGTGCTTTGCCGACGAAGACGTCTGATGTCCATGCTACGAGAGCCGCAAAGGCGAGTCTTTCTCGGGCAAGGAAGAAGGTCTCGGCAAGGAAGTGGTCACGTTCATACTCACATATGCGTTCCCGAGAGAGAGGATCGGGCGTTGTGCATCTCGAGGACGGAGAGATTGCACCTGACGGCGACGCATTGGATGTTGGAGGGAGGGATACAATGACGGCGGATATCGTCGGCAGGGAGAGCATAGGGAATGCAGTGACGCGGCAGTGTACTTATCGTCCACGACGACAGCACAGATGTCGCCCCGGGAGAGACCATAGGCACTGATGATGCAGGGGACTCCGATTACGTACCCAAACCACGGGCGGCAGATGGAGATGATGGAGGAGGG